TCCCCCCTTTTTGGGGGTTTTTTTTTTTATAAATCTTTTTTTTTTTTTTTTTTTTTTTTTTTTTTTTTTTTTTTTGCTCCGTTCTCCTTGCCAGCAGCAGCCAGCTAGAAATATGTTCTGGCTGTTACAGACTCGGGGGCTGGGGAGGGGGGAAGGAAGGAGGGGAATAAACCTGTCACACTCCAAAAAAACCCCGGCTGGCAAATGACTGCTGGAAATGTAGCAGAGGTACCAGGGGCATCTTTTCAGCCTCTCCAAAGCCACCTATGCAAGGAACGACTCCCCCCCTCCTCCCCTTGGCTTCCCACATCCTGCAAAGTGTGACCGCCAGCCCCAGCGGTGCCGGGGGGATCGGGAGGCGAAGCCGGCAGGAATTTGGGGTGCCGAGCAGCTGCCGGAGCCCCCGCAGGCGCGGGGGAGGGCGGCACAGGGGCCAGCCCCTCACTCGGGGCAGGAGCCCACCCGCGGGGGGCACTGCGGGAGGAAAGGTGTGCGTGTGTGCCCGGAGGGGGGGACGAGGGCTGAAAACGCAGCGGCAAGTGCCGTGAGTCACCTGGCAGCGGAATGCGCCGCCGGTGCCGCTCCCGGTGCCCCCCCGCCGCCGGCGAATAATCCAGCTGCAAAACCCACCCCACAGCTGCGGCTGTGCCAGCCAACAAACCACAAAAGTTCACTCACCCATCCTTTTGTCATCAATAACGTCCTCCTTCGCCTTCCTCCAGCTGTTTTCTCCGCTCTCTTCCCTTTTTTTATTTATTTATTTATTTTTGCTTTCCCCTCGCCTCTCTCTCTCTTTTCCAAACCCGGCTCCTCTGCTTCAAACCATCATCATCTTCATGTCACAGCGCGGCTGCCGCTCGCCCCGCCGCCATCCAGCGTGCCTGCCAGGAACCCCACAAAGTTCCCCGGAGAGGACCAGCGAGAATTTTGGGGATGAGGAAGGGAAAGGATAAGGGAAGGGATTGGGGGTGGGGAAGACAGGACGAAGGATGGGGGGAGTGTGGGGGGGTAGGGAGGGACTCTAAGCTCTGAGAGCCATTGTGGAAGTCATCAGAGAACCGGCGGCGTTAAGTGGCAGTCGGCGAGAAAAGCAGGCGACGGAGACGAACCAAGTTCTCTGGGAGGAAGGAGCGGAGCTCTGCCGGCGCCTGGCATCCCTCATTCTGCCGCCTCTTGCCATTGCCGGGCACAGCGATCCATCCTCAGCTCCCGCAGCAGGCAGGGCCCCCCGTGCTGTGCCACAGCCCGCTTCAGCAGCCCCGCAGGCTCGCTTTATCCATTTAGCTGCTCGGGTTTAAAGTGTTTTGTAGCTGTGCTGAGAGGCAGCTCTCGTCTAATTCCGAGGCTTTCCAGAGAGCGATGATGCTCCGGAGCTGGCGGGTGCCGAGGCTGGAGTTTGTGGAGCACCGAGTGCCCTCCACTGGAGAAAACCCAACGCGCATTGAGGGCCGAACAAGCGAGGCTGTCATGGCTCTGCAGACTTCGCTTCCCTCGGAAAAGAAAATTAAAGACACAGCATTTGCCTTGCCCACCGTCCTCCCCTGCCAGACCCCTCCGTCTCCCCTGGATTGTGGAATGTTTATGGCGTGGGATTTTCGGGCAGAGACGCCAAGCAAAACAGCTGCCCCCCTTGGGATTTGCCAACCTGAGCTTGCTCTAATCCACCTGACCCGTGTATTTGGCTTGGGTAAATTCTAAACTGTTCTTTTTCCCTGTGTTCCCGGGGGAGGGGAGGCAGGAAAAGGAAGGTTTGCAGGTTAGAAGTGAGATCTTGGTGCAGGGCCGAGGGCAGGGGCTGTGATCACACTGATCATCATCACAAAAGGCATTTCATTTGATTTGATTGCAGGCAGCAACTCCAAATGTAAACACTCCGTGTCCTGCTGTGGCTGGGACAGTGTTAATGCCCTGCCTCGTAGCCTGTAATTTTTTTCTTTTTAAATCTAAGTGCCTTTTAGTCAGAAAAACTCTGACTCTGATAAAGAAGGCAGAACTGAAGATGCAGAATCAGTGACAGCTTTTTCCTCCTGAGCTCCTCTCCGGTGGCTCTGGCAGCAGGAGCCGGGATCCTGCAGGGTCCAGGGTGGGACCCGGGCTGTGCCACCTGCGCAGGTGTCACCTCGGGCTGCGTCTGCCCGGGTCACCGCGGGCAGTTCCCGGCTCATCAGGGCTGGTTTCATTCCCAGTTCCCCAGGGCTGGGTTAATTCCCAGTTCACCAGGGCTGGGTGAATTCCCAGTTCATCAGGGCTGGGTCCATTCCCAGTTCACCAGGGATGGTTTCATTCCCAGTTCCCCAGGGCTGGGTTAATTCCCAGTTCACCAGGGCTGGTTTCATTCCCAGTTCCCCAGGGCTGGGTTAATTCCCAGTTCACCAGGGCTGGTTTCATTCCCAGTTCACCAGGGATGGGTCCATTCCCAGTTCACCAGGGATGGGTCCATTCCCTGTTCCCAGGGCTGGGTCCATTCCCAGCTCACCAGGGCTGGGTCCATTCCCAGTTCACCAGGAAGGTGCCAGAGGGATGTGAACAGGGGCAGGGGCAGCAGCAGCTCCCTGAGCTGGTTCTGGGAGCCTCTTTAGCCAGAAGCAGCAAGGAACTGAATGCTCAGGGCAGGGCCAGGATCCCACAGGGATCATTTCTGGCTCTGGCATACCCGGGTTGCTCAGAGGGCAGCACTGGACTCTTCTGAACAGCTTTAACAGCTCCTAAAACTTGAATATTTGTGCTATTTCCATCCTTCCCTGTGCTAAACACCCCCATCAGTTATTTGGGGAACAACTCCCTGCCCAAATCCCACTTCAGCTGCCAAAATGGTGGCAGTGCTTTATAAAGTCAGTCATGAACCAACCATCATGTGTTATTTAATTTTTAAATATTTAAAATATTCCCCACTGTGGCCCAGGAGCTCCCTGCTCAGCATTCCACAGCCTGGATCTCTGGGGGTGCCCGTGTGCCCCTGGTGATCCCACTCTGTACAAAAATGAAAGTTGCACAAATCTCAAGGTCAGGTTCCAGCCCTTCCATCCGAATTCCTCATTCCTGGCTCGCTGCTTGCCCCTGCAATCCATCCCAGACGGAGTCACCCCTGGCCAGCCCCAGGATCCAGCCCTCTGAAGGAGCAGGAAAAACACTGGGACACAGGATGGGCCAAGAGTTCAACTCCATTCCGAAAAATAAATAACAATCCACAAAACAATCCACGGAAACCAACCTGCCCTCCCCTATGTCTGCATCCAGACTGCATCTGCACCCACACTGCATAAATATTCACTCCTGAATAAAAACCCTTGCTTGGTTTGTTCTGTTATGACAATTTGTCGCTACCTATAGATCAGATATTCATTTGCATATGAAAAATATCATCATTAATCACTATTTTTATTTTGGATTGGACAGCGGCACACACAACTCCCTCAAACAAGATTCAGAACTTAATTATCATAAGTGATGTTGAAAATACCTCTCCCATATCTCAGTTAACCCCATCTGCATCACAGCCAGGAGCGCTGGAGCAGGAATTCATATTTATTATTCCCAATAAATGTAAAAGCCGAAGTGTGCAGTTATTTATTCCATCTTGGACTGATGATTCTCCAGGATGGGTCCATTTGAAACTCTGCCAGATCTGGGAGCGAGCAGAGCAATGTCCACAGGAGCTGCACCCATTTCCAGGGATGACTTTTCCCAGATCCTCGGGTCCTGCAGGAGCTGGAGCAGCACAGCCACGAGCTCTCCCTCTGCCACTGACCGAGCCTCAATATCCCCACGCTCCCACCAAAGGGTGGGCATGACTTTGCTGCCTTAAAATTCCCGTGATGCTCTGATGGAAAACTTCATCAATTCCAAGGCAGAAAACTTGAGGAGCTGAGCTGAGCTGAGCCAAGGGAGCTTTCACTCTGCAGCACAAATGCCACCCCCTCCCTGTTGTTTTTTTAATTTTACATTTTCTGATGAAAACAGACCCACTTGAACATTTGCCAAAGGAGAAGAAATGGGGAAGTTTTAATCAGCATAAATAAGGGACTCTGAGCTAAAAAACACATGGAAAGGAGGAGGTTGCAAAGGCTTTTTGTGGTTTGGTTCCATTTCCTTGGAGCAGGGAGAGAGGTGGAGATCCTTGCCCAGGGAGAGGCAGGGAATGTTCTGAGTGCTCAGCTGATCCTGGTCCAGCTGGCAGAGCTCCCTCCCACCTGAGCAAGGGCTACCTACAGAAATTATCCCTCCTGGGAAGGGCGTGGGCCATGGGCTCTGTGTGTCCTCTGCCAGGAAAATGGGTCTGGACAGAGCTAAGTGTTTGATTATTTATATTTATATTTATAGAGTTATTTTATACATGAATGTGTGTGTATATTTATTTATTTATTTATGTGCATTATTTATCCATTTATTTTTATATCTACTTCCACAAATATATATAGTCACAAATATTATATGTGTTTTATATATTTGCATTTTTATGTATTATGTTCTATATGTTATATATTTACCTATTACTAGTTATGTATTTCTCTATTATTTCTATATAGATTTGTGTACTTATTTATATATTATAAAAATGTATCTTTTATTGTGGTTGCTAAAAGTCTATATATATATTCACAAATATTATATGTGTTTTATATACTTGTATTTTTATGTATTATGTTATATACGTTATATTTTATCTATTACTAGTTATGTATTTCTCTATTATTTCTATATCGATGTGTATATTTATTTATATCTTATAAAAATGTATATTTTATTGTGGTTGCTGAAAGTATATATATATTCACAAATATTATGTGTGTTTTATATACTTGTATTTTTATGTATTGTGTTATATACGTTATATATTTATCTATTACTATTTATATATTCCTCTATTATTTCTATATATATTTGCATATTTATTTATATATTATAAAAATGTATATATTTATTGTGGTTGCTGAAAGTCTGGTCAGAAGGAGAAGTACAACAGCGACATTTTATATTTATAATATTTTACAGATGCAATTGTTTTGGGACCTTCTGAGGTCACTCCTCTCCTGCGCAGTCTGTTCCAAACACTCCCTGGGGAGAAGAAGAACCCTGGATGGGTTAAGGGTCCCAAACCTACTCTGGAACCAACAGTGGAGTCAATTTATCACTTGATCCCTCTGAATCTGGACTCGTTCTCCAGGGATGAAACAGATCCTCAGCTCAGGAATCAGCTTTGTTCCAAGGCTGCGGAACTCACACCTTGGGTCTTCCTTTCCCCCTCTCCCCAGGCTGGTAAATGATGAATAAATTAGCAATTTGCGTGTAATGGCTGGAGCAGCTTCATTAATACCCTGTCAGGGCGTGCTTGGTACAACTTCTGACATTGAGGCTCTAATGTCCTGTGAATTATTGATGGAAGCACTCGCATCCAAGTCCTTATCTCCAGCTCTCCGTGTGCTAAGTGTTTAATTGTGAACAATTCATGGCTCCTGCCTTGGGCGGGTGCATTAAAACCCAAAACCCGAGTGCAGCAAACCCCTCTGCATTCCTGGCTGTGCCCTGTCAGTGTGACAGCAAGCCACTGGGAGATCCCAAGTGGGAAATACAATTTAAAAGGAAAATTAAAGTAAATGCAGTGCAGAAACACTGCCAGAGTCAGTTTAGGGCTGAGCCCTGTGTGTCAGGGTGGTGGCACATCCCATCCCACGGGGGCTCAGCCCTCCTGCAGGGCCAGCCGTGCTTCTGCTGGAGCAGGGATCCTGCACAAGGGTTTGTTCTTCCTCTGAAGGTGCAGCGGTGGTTATGGAGCTGTTGTCCTCTGGGAATTCA